AAATTATATATATTATATAATTTATTTATTTATTGTAAATGTATTATGAAAATTGTGGATTCTTAGATTACAATATAATACGTATGCGCTATGCGCTACTATTGCTCTCTCGCTCTCACAGAACATCCCTCGATTGCAGCGACCTCATACTTTTCGGCTTCGCCAAGCGAACCATCCTCACCATACGAGTTGAGAGACCTGTATGTAAGACCGTGCTCCTTGTTTACTGACAAAATGAAAAGAGCGGTGAATATAGCGTCAGGCAGGAAAGAAACTTTCGAAAAATCCACTAATCCAGAAATAAAACAAGGAAAATCGATTAAAAAACAAGTAAGATGGTGGGAAAAAAATTGAAAATATATAAGAAACTTCAAACTTTACATTCATTTATAGATTACAAAAAACATGTAGTTTTGACAAGAAAAGTATTTAGGAAAAAAAGAGAGAAAATTAAAAAAAATTTTGTAATAATATTAATAGATTTACCAGTATATCTTACGTTTGGAATACGATGAGAACTTTTAAGAAAGCTAGAAGTAGAATAAGCTGGAATAAGTGGCAGATAGGCGATAGAGAAGGGGTCATAAGAGAAGAGATAAATAAATTGTCAGCATTTGGAGTATCTTGGAAGGCAGTAGAGGATGATACATATGAAAGAGAAGGAACAGAATTAGACTCGTTATTTTCTGAGGCAGAATTGTGCAGGGCAATCGGAATGATTAAAAAAGACTCAGCTCCTGGCAGGGATAATATAGATTATAAAATGATAAAGAATTTGCCAAAAAACGCCATGCAATACTTACTAAGATTATTTAACGATATCTGGTTAGGATTAGGCTTTCCACACGAGTGGAGAGAATATCAAGTCTTATTCATCGATAAGGTAAATAAAAATAAAGTTAGGCCGATATCATTATCGTCATGTATGGGCAAACTAATGGAGAGACTAGTTAACGAAAGACTTATATGGTGGGCGGAAAAAAAGAAAAAATTACATCCCATGCAAAATGGTTTTCGAAGAGGCAGATCGTGTATTGAAAACCTGGTGAAGATTACCTCGGACATCAAGACAGCTTTACTCAGTGAGGAATATGTATTAGCGGCATTCCTTGATGTGGCATCAGCGTACGACAACGTAGTTTTTCATATTTTAAAGGCCAAGCTGAGAAAGATGGACTGTCCTGACAGGATCTTCAAGTTTATCAACACCTGGTTGGATGAAAGGGAAGTCAAGTACATCATAAATAATAGAGAAACTCTGAAAAGAATATCGAGGTGTGGTCTACCTCAAGGAGCAGTCTTAAGCTCCATTCTGTATGCTTTGAATACTAACGATATCACCGTGGATGTGGATGAAGATGTAATGGAATTAGAATTCGCCGATGATATCGTGGTGTATAGGATGGGTCTCGATAGGAAGCTAAACAGGATGAAGATCGAAGAAGCTGTTAACATTACAGCAAGCAATCTTGAGTTAATTGGATTAGACTTGGAGCCCAGAAAAACAACCCTGGTGGAATTCTCGAAAAGTGGCTTTGTAGACGATACTTCCATTATAGTAAAAAGCACGGTAATCCCAAATATAGAAGAATCCAGATTCCTCGGAGTTCGTATGGATAATCAGCTGAAATTTGTAAGCCACATTCAAGACGTAAGAGCCAAAATAGAAAAAGCCAATTCAATTTTAAAATATTTAAACAGTGTCACCAGGGGAGCGGATTGCACCACAGCACTTATATGCTATATAAAAGTTTAGTAAGGTCGGTCTCAGACTACGGATGTTTCGTGTATGCCCCTACTAGTAGCTCCTTATTAAGATTAAAACTTGAAAGAGGTCAGTTCTTGGGATTAAGAACCGCGATGGGCTTTAGGAATAGCACACCAACAAACGTGTTAGTAGCAGAGGCCAAAGTGGATTTATTAAGTGAAAGAGCCATGATGTTAGCCAAGAATTTCTGGTTTAAGATTATAAAAAATGGCAATCCAGATATTAAAAGGAGTATAAGTAACCTGAGCAACAAAGAAATGATGTATAAATTACGATATCCGCAGAAAAAGAAACGTTTAATCTCAGTAGCGTGGGGATAGAGTCAATTTATTAGCGAAAGACATAGGTCAACCAACGAGTAATTTCGAAATATGGGATATGAAGTACGAAGATCTCACGGAAGATATAACAATAGAGCTGGAAATAGGACGGTCTCACAGTGCTAAAAGGAAGGAAAAGGAGAGAAGAAACCTGGAAGATATGAGGTATAGGAAAGAAGATCTGGATTTTATTGAAGAATTCTGCGATGTACACAAGTTGGACAACCCTCTGGTCATCTATACGGATGGCTCAAAATCAGAAGATTTGGTTTTGATAGGAGCCAGCGTGGTTTTTGAAGAGAATAATCAGGCTTTTTATGTTAGTTTCCCGAAGATGTGCTCGTCATTTTCAGCGGAAGTCTTCGCAATAGTTACTGCGTTAAAAAAATTGGAAAAGGATCAAGAACAAGGAGAAAGAAATAACAAGCATATATTAATTTTGTCATATTGTCAGAGCGTATTAAAAGCCATAAAAAACAATAGGCTAGATGTATATAAAAGTAGTTATATATTAAACATCAGAAGACGACACTTCAGGTTAAAAACTAAGTTCGGTTGGACAATTATTTACGGTTGGATTCCAGCCCATAGAGGATATACAGGAAACGAGATTGCTGATAGATTAGCAAAAGTAGGTGCGTCAGAAGTTGCGGAGACAAACATTCCTGTTCCAATAACGGATTTAAGAAGCATATTTAAGGAAGAAGCCTGGAATAACACGCAGGATAAACTAGTTAGCGAAAGTCTATATAAAGGCAAGGATTATTTCCGAAATTTCTATGACAAAAATAAAAAGCAGCCTTGGTTTTGTCACGTTCTGACTGTCGTTGTTCGTCCGTTTTTTTGGTCAATGCATTTAAGCAATTTACCAGGGATTTGGACAAGTCGTGTGAAGGATATTATTATTATATTTATTATTTGGGACCGAAAAGATATATGAGTTTATACGTTTGGTAACGAGGATCAGTTTTATCTATTTGATTATAATTAGGATAATCAACGTCGAAATCGACAGGAATAGGTTTAAATGGAGGTGCGTTTTCTAGTTGTTGCAATTGTTGGAGGAAGGGGAGAGGATCTTGATTAGAAATGACTGCTTGTTTGATCTGGAATCTGATTCGTTTAATTCGAACGCGCCTACCTCCTTTCTTCGTCATTCAGCCGCGTTCACAAAAATGAATTTTAAGCTCGCCACACTCTTCGGCAGCGCTCTAAAACCAATTTGCCACACCCTCTGCTCGCCACACTCTTCGTCAGCGCTCAGATCGTCAGCGTAGAGGTCAAATTCATTTTCGGGAATTTATCGAGATTATTGTCTTTTCTGGAAACCAACCCCGAAATCGCCACGCTTTCGGCAGCGAAAGTACCGGATCGCCACACTCTTCGTCAGCGCCCCAGCACAGATCGCCACGCTTTGTCAGCGACTACCGCGAGTCGAATCTTAGAAGTGATCGATTATTGATTAAGAATACGAGATAAGATTCCAGATTTTCAAACTTGTTCCTTTTCAAACTTATCTTACCTTTATTCTAAAAATCTCAGTACAAATCGTGCGTGAAGCGCGGTCTTATAAGGTACGAGAGTACAGGGACTAAGTTCCAAGATCGAGCGCGAATGCTCGGATTTAGAAGTACAGTCGAATATAGGATTTAGGAATGGCTGAGCAATTGAAGTGCTAGAGCTGAAGGAATGGCTAAGCAATTGGAATGCTAGAGCCGAAGGAATGGCTAAGCAATTAGAATGTTAGAGCCGAAGGAGTATGTGTAAGGAGCCGAAGCTTGGAACTTTCTGCCTCTTCGCGGCGTTTTTCCGCCCTATTTATACCCAAAAAAGACCGGAATCTCCCGTGCGAGATTCCCGCCTTTTTCTACGCGTCTTAAGGAAGGAGGTATTCTAGAAGCTTCTAGAACATTCTAGAAGCGTAGTTTTGGGCCCATCTGGCCCCCAGCCCTTCAACGGACTCCGATAAGATAATCTAAACATTTACGTTGACTCGACCGTCCCCTCGGAATTCCGAGCTAACGTGCCTCGTCTAAGCGTTCAAAAGTGCATCGTCGAAATTTTAATATATAAAATTTCAGTACGTAACAGTTTAAAAAAATTAGAGCGGAGAGATATTTTTATTCTTTCATCAATCGTATAAGAGCGAACCATTACAACTTGAATGAGTCTCTGGCAAAAAGGGCTACATAGATATATTTAGATGCAACTGCGGATATGAAAGGGAATTAAGACATAAATGGCAACACATAAAACACGTGATATGGCAGTGTAGTAGGTACGATATGGAAAGGGAAGTGATGAACGAGGAATTGGTGAAACGCGACATCTATGGAGCAGAGGACATAGTGGAACTGATTAAGAGGGAAGACTGGTTTAAAATCGGAGTAATTTCATTAAACGGATCGGAAGAATTATATAACGAGATTTGCAAAACAGGATCACATAGACAGAAGAAAATACAGATTCATACTAAATTACGCTATATAGCCCAAAGGTGGGGCTGAAGGCGTTTATAACTCCAACCGGAGTTAATAACCTCAAAAAAAAAAAAAATTGTTTGGGTACAAAACACCTTATTTTCTCAACTGAGGAAAGCAAATGAAAAAACCTAAGAAATCTCGTCTTGCCGTTAAGTGTTGTGTTAAAATTTCCTCAACTGAAGAAAGCAAATAAAAAAACCTAAAAAATCGTCTTGCCGTTGAGTGTTGTGTTAAGAAGTCGACTAATAATACAGGCCAATATAATTCATTCTTCGTGCATTGAAATATATTAGTGTAGATATATCCGAGAAGCGGTCTATCGATCATTATTATTATAACCTATTTTGACGATAAGAAATCGTCTTGCCGTTGAGTGTTGTTAAATTAAGAAGTCGACTGATATATAGACCAATATAATTCATTCTTCGTGCATTGAGATATATTAGTGTGGATATATCCGAGAAGCGGTCTATCGAGAGAAGATAATTTTTTAACGGTGTGTCTTTGATGATGATATTTCTTATTCCAATGGCACTAGCAGAACCCGATTTGCCACAAGTTCTGAATCCTCTGAAATCTATACAGAAATTAAAATGATTAGACTCGTGAAAGGTCAAAACAAAAAGGAAACGGCTAATGCGAGTCAAGCGCGGGACGTGGTGCGCAATAAAAATAAATAATTTAAAACAATGTTAGTTTAACGAACGTTTCGGCTCTACATCGAGCCATCTTCAGCGTTTATTAAGAAGATCTTTGCACACCTCGGGGCAAGAAGCTCCCTTTCCAAGGAGTTGTCAAGAACGAGCTGGGAAGCACACCTCTGTGGACATAACCACTGTAAAAAACGCATTAATTTAAAGCAAGAATATGGTAAAACCGGGGGAGTGAACTCACCTCAAGATTTGCAGAAGTCAAAAATACAGAAAATCGTAGTCATGGTAGTATCGTAGATACATTAAGGTGCACATCTTGTATAGATCGAGAAAAACCGTGGTCGAAACGCATCGAATGTTACAAAATGAACGTGTAGCCATCGCATGTGTGGCGGTTGAAACAGAAGTGAGAACGTGGCGAACAAGTGTGTAGGTCGGAACCGTTGTTACGAATTAGTGTGGAGAGAGGGCAAACCAGAAATTAAATATTTTTTATGATGGGTAGATACTCGTGATGTAAAAACTTGGTGTCTGATTGGAGGTTCAGACCGTGGCGCTGTTGTTGAATATGTAGGACCTCCGAGATGAGACGCTTATAATAAAATCTCTTGCAGTCCAAAATCTCGACGTTGTTCCAATTAAAATCATGGTCTTCGTGAATTCTGTGATCGGTGATCATGGAATGCGCAGAACTTTTTCTGCTGATGTGACTGCGATGCTCCGATATTCTGGTCTTTAACTGTCTGCCAGTCTGTCCTACGTAATGCCGGGATTACGATGAATTGAACGTAACGGGACGCGACGGGACGTGAAGTAACGTAACGTGAACTTAAGAAATTACGATCGCCGTAACGTGAAGCAACGTGCATTTGAAAAATGATTTGACAGCGTGGTGTGAATAGAAGGTTTGTTGTCATTCTCGTTGGTAGTTCCTGCTTGGTAATTCCAAAAATGAATTCTGCTATGAGGCATTATCAGCTTTTTAACTTAATTTTGGCCGGATATTTGTATCTTCAACTGCGGAAGAAGAAATGAGTACGAACCGTTGGTGTGAGAGAGATTTTTCGGAGAAGAACCCAGTTTGGTGATGGATATAATTTACTTGAAGAACTCCGTTTCCGTGATCCACCCTTTTTTTTATTTACATAAGGATGAATGTCAAAAGGTAAGATTTAATGATTATCTAGTACAAAATATAATCATTTTTACAAATTAATGTCTGCTTTCCTACATTCTGGTACCTCTTGATCTTGCTTGGTCTACTGATAAAAAAGCGCTTAGATAAATATTTTTTTGGCACAGAGTTTATTTTTACAAATTATATGTTCGCTTTCTTAGATTCGAGTATTTCCTGAGCTTGGTTGGTCCACTGATAAAGAAGCGAGAAATGTACACTGCTCTTTCACTCACTCAGAGGCTTGCTATGACATTGAGGTAAGATCATCAATGTTCGCTTATCTTATTAATTAAGTCTCAGGAGTCGATTCAATTTGTAAATTTGCTTTGCAGATTCTTGGCAGCAGGAGACAGTCAGTATACTCTGAGCTTTTTCTATCGATGTGGCCAGAGCATTCGGTCAGGATCTGAAAGACAGTGCTCTGGCCATATCACCCTTAGCAATGGTCAGGTCGGGCCGCCTCAGGCCGGCAGAGGTCGAATAGGCTAACTCCGCATCGACATGCCATCCCTTCTGCTGAAAGAAGCCACCGACTCGACGACAAAGGTCGTTATGCCGTAGGATTCCTTCGTGCGTTCTGAAGCAACGCTGAACGCAGTGCGCCGGCGTCTCGATATCGGGACAACCAGCACGACAGCGAACCTTGCGCCCATCACGACCTCGGGAGACTCTCGCTCTAGACGGAATACAGTTGGCCCGTATGTGATGATAGTGCACGTAGTCGGCTCCGGGAATGAGGTCCGACACCCAGTGTGAACTCAGCTTCGACGTTTCCGCTTCCCTGAGCCCATTCCCATCACACGACTCGCGCAACCAGGCTGCACACTGTTGTCAGAGCTCAGCGGTCGTAAGTACCCTGTTGCCCCGGATGCGCATTTGGTTCTCACACCAAACCAGCCGCCTAGCCACAAATTTGGTTTCGGCGGCGGCGCGCGCCGCGGGCAGAGTGCTGCGACACAACCGCTGCAGTCGGTCAAACTTCAGAATAGGGATTAGAGTCTTGAGTAAAGGCAAACCAAGCCCGCCACTCTGTATCGGCGCATGAAAGTATCCAGCAGGAACATCATGGGGAAATCGCAACCACTATCCAGCGGTGATAATACCGTGGCAGGAGAAAGTCACGCAAAAGCCTTAGTCGCTGTTACGGTTTCAAAGGCGCCTTAGTTAGTAGCTCGATGGAATGAGCTAGGGGCGGATTATTAGCGAATTCCCTAGCACCTTCATACATGCAGCCCAGGTACGCCCAAATATCGACAGGGGATCTTTGCGGAATCAGCGCTCCTCTCACGGTGAAGTAAGGTGTTGTGTCAATCTTCACCTTTTTGCCTCTACCGGACGCCACCATGGACAGCACCCCCGTATTCTTTGCGTTGATTGTTAGTCCATTGCGCGCAAAAGCAGCCTGAAGTCGTGTCAAGTTCTCCTGCAGACCGGACTTGATAGAGACAAGAAGCACAATGTCGTCTGCGTAGCCTAAGGCGCTGATCAGCTCGTCTCCCAACTGATAGCCAACATCCTCCGAGAGAATTGCTAGTGCTCTACCCACGACCAGATTGAACAGTAGCGGCGATAACGTATTACCCTGTCTTACGCCACGGCCGATCTTGATGGCCGATACATTACCGGTGACAGATCCTATCACCGTTTGCGCATCCGAATAGACGGCCCTGATGTACTCTTTAAACTCCCAAGGGAGCTCCAGTTCTTCGAGAGTCTTATGTATAGCTGGGTGCGAGACCGTGTCAAATGCCTTCGACAGGTCAACGCACGCCAGATGTAATGTCCGACACCGCCTCCGGGCATCACCGAGGGCGGACAGGACTGTGACGTTCTCACACACCCCATCCACCGGCCGGAAACCCCTTTGGCGAGTGTCGAACACGTCCAGGGCCGCTAAACGTTTAGCAAGAATTTTGTGGAAGTCTCACCACTACTGATTCTATGCTGAGAGGTCGGTATTCCGCCCGGTGATGGCCGGTCGGACATCCCTCCCTTCTCCAGAAATACAGTTCTAGTTGTGGCGATCGACAAGGGTACCGTTCTTGCCAGGAGCAGCAGATTGAACAGAAGCGCACGGAGAACAAGAGGAACAGCGTTCCACATTCTCGGCGTAATCTGGTCCAATCCGGGCGCCGTACCAGTCTTGATCGAAATTCTTCAAACCTTGATAGGTTTTATAGGATCCCAGAGCGAGGCCTTATCCGCCACCCGAGGTGGGCCAGTGGCGGCGCCCTCACCTAGGCCTTCAAGATGAATCCCTCTGGCTGTCGGTGGACGGCTCCGGCTAGTACGCGCTACCTGCCCCGCCACCCCGTACAACTCGCGCAAGGCTGTCATGTCTCCATCCGTGTCACTGGACGTCTCCATCACGGGACGCCAGTACCCGTCGAATTCGACAGCAAACGGTCGCTCACGTGCCGAGTCACCCCCGAGGACGAGCGATAGGCAGGCCTTTGGGTTCTTCTTATAGAGAGTCTGCACGTGTGCATATTCTCTCTTTCTTTTCTGCTTCCTACTCTCTTTTGTGTTAGGAGGATTGCGCTGCTTCGTCGAGGCGCGCTGTGGAGGGCGCACAGCTGACGGCGGGAAGATCAAGACCAGCCATCTCTCGATGGCCTGGACGTCGACCACCCCCGTCAGTAGAGCATCTCTCGCGATGCCCACGAGAGTATCAGCCTGATAGCTACGGAACGCTGAGCTCTGCTCTGTGAGCTGGTTGATAATGTCCCGCAGCCTCTGAGATCTTTGCTCAGGGGAAGGCTGATGTGCGCTTGGATCAACAATGTCAGACTCTATGGTCGCAGGGCCGGCAACAGCTCCTATCATCGCCGCGCCGTCCCTATCGCCCTCATCGATGCCAACCGCGTTTCGCGATTGCAGCTCTTGGCAGAAGACTCTAACCATCTCGCGATAAGCCTCTTGTCGACGCTTACCCTTGATAGCTTCGAGACTCCTATGGGGGAACTCCATATTCTTCATGAATCATCATCTGCAGGACTCCTTATCCTGCAGATGATGATTCATGAAGATAATTCCCCCCCGGCTAAGGTGGCTGAAGCCTCAGCGCGAGCCATGAGCCTGACCTCCTACACTGACCAACGTGCTTTTACGCGCTCGACATCCACCGCGCTGTTGGCCACCACTGGGTGGACCTTAGTAACATCCAAACTTAGACCACGCATGGTCTGGAACTCCCTTGGACAAAACTCACAGCCATATGGTTCTGTCCCTTCTGTGATTTCGGACATGGCTCTACTCCTAGTACGCGACGGGCCAGCTACGACCCCGTCAGATACTTCCGCATCAACGGCACTATTGCTTGCGCATCTTGCACGCAGTACCCGGGCCATCCGAGAACCCGGGGGTTTGACATTCATACGTGGACCTTCCATAAATTTACTGCGTGTAGGGGAGCAAACGGATTGACAACCGAGAGCTCCCCAGATAACCGTGCCCTTTCTTGGACCCACAACTCACCATGGACATTGGTACTTGGGCCTGTATCGCTACAGACCCTTCGGGGCTCACCTAGGTCGCCATACCATCAACTTGGTTACTGCAGCGCGCGTACCGGTCGGACGGCGTCGGACCCAGAGCAAGCTCTATGGGACTAAGCCGCACCGAACCGAAGCAACACCTTACACAGCGTTCCAGCGAGACCTCGAGGAGGAAGGTTGGTATGACTTGACCGGGAGAGGCTATGTATTCGCATCACCAGCCCAAGTAACCTTCTCTAACCCCAGGTCCAAAGAGACTCGTATGTGAATTAAGGGCCTGAGAGAGCCAGACTCTCTTAAGTGAGGTATCTCCCTTAATTTTATTTATGGCCTACAGCTACACTTAAGAGAGTTATAGTTACTCCCGCCGTTTACCCGCGCTTGCTTGAATTTCTTCACGTTGACATTCAGAGCACTGGGCAGAAATCACATTGAATACAGAAATATTTAACAGTCGCGTCGAAGCACGACCAACGAAATAACGTTGTCAGTTATTGGTATAAGTACATAATATACATTCTAAATCTTGATTGTAGAAATATCTCGGTAATGACACGGTGAAAAAAAACAAATGTATTTTTTATTTAAAAGTTCAATATGCCTTGTCTTTTATTTCTAAGAGAGACAAAGAGTTAATTAAAATGTACGTACAAAAAACAGGTCGCCTGTATGCTCTTCAAACTGGATTGAAATTGTCCATTAAGACATCGGCGGAGACTAATTTTTTATTAAAGTTGATGGACTGGTTGGAAGCAACGAAGAAAGAACTGCATGACAACGAAGCTATTACTAACGATGTGGCCGCTCAAGCGCATTTAAAAAATTGGGCCCTGAAGCTCTTTTTATATGCCGATAAGAACGATAGGGCTGCAAATTTTTTCAAGAATGTACTACAGAGCTTTTATACCGCTCAGATATTGTACGATGTGTTGCCGCTGTTTGGAGAATTGAGCGTGGAAGTGGCACAAAATTGGAAGTACGCTCAATGGAAAGCAGTTTATCTCAACAATTGTTTCACAAATAGAGAAACTCCGGTGCCAGGGCCAATGAAAGAAGCAGATGATGATAGTTTTTATTAATGCGTCGAATGACAACGATGGTAAATATTGGGTGTTTAGCCTCACAAATTTGTCAAATTCTAATGAACATTTTTTTTTTGAATCAAGTGTAAATCCTGGAAGTCCTAAGGATAATACTTTGCTAGACATTCCGCCTGCTCCTGTAAATTCGCCAACTACAAGAACGCAGTTGTTTGAATCAGAAGATGATAAGTATAAAACAGAAAATAAGTCCTGTAATGTAAATTGATATATTTGCAAATGAGATAAAATGAATAAGTCTGGGAACACAAAAATGTGAAATAATCATTTTATTTCGAACAGAATACAATTTGTAGGTGGTGCCAAGTTGACGGTTGAACAAATTAGCAAGGTTCAAAAAATGATCAAATGAGCAAGCAGTGCATTGGATTATGATGATGTAGCTACTTCTGTAATGAATCTTCGGAAAGCTCTGCATCTTTTAACTACTGGTCAGGAATCCGCATAGATGAAATGGATAGAAAATGCGTTCAGTAATGTCTTATAATTAATTATGTTGAATTTGATGCCTGTATCGCGCGTAATGCCCAGTAAAAGATATTTTACTAATATTTCACAACTCTTGGGTACGAATAATAGAAGCAATAAGAGGGATGGTTACAATTAGCTAGTCAAATTAACCTCTGCACATGGTGTACTTAAATAAAAATAGAAATTGTTGCAGTGTTTTCCAGATTGCAACTATTGTTGTCCAAGATGAAAGATGTATAGTTAGAGTTTCATTATATATTATTGAAACTACTTTAAGAGTATTAATATTCATTTTAATAAAAGCTTTAGCATCGCTATTTTGTTTTCTAATTATTATTAATGAAACATTTTTGCGAGAAATCATTGTTATTTTACTAAATAAATAACGAAAAATGAACATTTAAATGGTACAAATTAGTTATTTTGGAATTGTATGATTGTCTTAACTGTTATATAAATAGAGAGAGATAATTTCTTTGATCCAGAGAATATCATTTTAGATCCATAGGCACGCCGCACAGTGGGGCGAATCTATCAAAAACCGGATATTGGACGAAAAAATGAAAAACGTATAATTCAAATTTTGACGAGATTTTATGTTAATATATATCCTAAACTATAAATAAATGTGCTTATAATTGATTTTATCTCTTGTTCTTTCCTCAAAATTCTAGTAATTTAATAGGTTACTTTCTAAAGACTCTGCCGAAAGCATATAACTGTGAATATGAGTTAAATGCCTATCAGAACTTATTTATTAGGGTTCATGCAAAAAACATATTTATTTTAGTTTTATGTCATTTGAGTACTATTATATATTAATAAATATACACGACATATTCGACTAAAAGTTCTTACTTCAATATTCAAACAGGAAGAAAGTTTGTGGATTAGAATGGATTAAGGTTTGCTCTGCGCCATTTGATAGGGCAAATATAAGTGTCTAGTTTTTGGACATATAAGGTTGTTTATCCGTATACGTCCGGTTTTTATGAGAAACTTGACGTCGAAGTTCACTCGACATGGTCGAACGTCGTCCACGAATAGCTCAGCGGACGCCGTTCGATTATGTCGAGTGAATATGGATGTTTATTTTCTCATAAATGTTGCATATATTTAATGTTCTGTTATATATTTTATAATCTATGACTGTAGTACGTTATTGGTGTGAGAATGCGTTCTATGTTAATTTTTAGTTCTTGCTCTCTGAGTGGTGTGGCGCTTCCCGCCAAACTTGTCTTCCGTTGATTATACCGTTGTAACGAGTTCTTGTTCTGAGAAATATATTACTATCCGAGAAATATCAGTTTCATCCTGTGTCAAAATCCTAACAGGTTATGGGCCCAGAGACGCTAGAATATCTGTGGTCACTGCGGAAGTTGTTTTTGGACAGAAAACAGTTTGAATAAGATTAAGCCGTGGTATATATATAAAGTGAGGTTATCTGACCGCGTGGAGTATAGTCAGAAGACTATAATACCTGGAAATTCGCCATGAAGATGACATTGATGCGGGAGAAGGTTTGGGGATATGTGACTGGGGAGGCATATCGTGCGGGCGCGACTCCTGATCCGGAAAAGGATGCCGAAGCTCTAACCACAATCTGTCTAAGTGTCGAAACTAACCTCTATCCTTTTGTTATGAATGCCAGCAAGGCGAAGGATGCCTGGGATGAACTTGCAAAGGTATTTGAAGACAAAGGTGTCAACCGAAGAATAAGCCTGATCGACTATTTGCTGGACCAGAAACTTGAAAAACATAGTAGCTTGCAAAGCTATATTACTGCGATTATGTCAACGGCACAGAAGTTGACAGACATTAACAAAGGCTTGGATGATGATTTAATCGCAGTGGTAATGTTACGTGGTCTTCGAGCAGAATATAAGCCGATGAAAATGGCTTTGGAAAATTCTGGAACAGAAATAACGACAGAAATGGTGCGGAGAAAGCTGCTACAAGAAGATTTGAGAAATAGTTTGCAAGAAGTATCTCCGGGGGAATCTGTTCTTTACACCAAAAGCAAGAAAGCAACCAAGAAGAATCCTAAAGAGAGATTCAAGTGTTATGGGTCTGGTGGCAAAGGACACTTCAAGAATGAATGTCCTGAATTGAAGAAACAGCAAGATAAATCCAAAGAGAAGCCCAGTGTCAAAGAAAGCGACGAAAAGAAAAATAAAGAGTGGACTCTCTTGACAGCTTTAGGTTCATCGTCAGACTTCAATTCGAATGTTTGGTACATAGACTCTGGTGCGTCATTTCACATGACTTTAAGAAAAGACTGGCTGCATGACATGAAAGAAGTTGGAAGTAAGGACTTAGAGGTTACCTGTGCCAATGATAAAAAACTGTCAAGTGCCGGAAAAGGAAACGCAGTGATAAATGTAAATGCTAGGGATCTTAGAGTAATTTCAGATGTTACTTATGTACCGAAACTAGCTGCAAACTTATTATCTGTTTCTAAAGCTGTGAACAATGGTTTATGTGTATTATTTAGTTCTGCAGGTTGTCAGTTCTTTGTAGAGGCGGAATGCAGCGTAAAAGGGGAAGCTGTACTGACTGGATCAGAAGAAGGTGGTATATACAAACTGGACCATGCTCAACCAGTACCCAAGAATGCTGCGTTAATGTCTTCTGCTGGAGAAAACTTGAGAGAGCTATGGCACAGAAGACTTGGACACCTGAGTCAGAAAGGGATGGATCTGCTAAAGAATGGCATGGTGGAAGGTATCTTTTTTGGAAATGAATCGTATGAACCATGTGTATCCTGTATTCAGGGGAAGCAGCATAGATTCCCGTTTATCAGTGCTGGTGAAGAAAGAACGTCGCAAAAGCTGGAACTCATTCACACAGATGTCTGCGGCCCTATGTCGGAAGTATCAGCAGGAGGAGCAAGGTATATGCTCATCTTTGTAGATGACTATACAAGGAAAATTTTTGCCTATTTCTTAGAATCCAAAGAGCAGGTATTTGAAAAGTTCAAATTATTTAAAGCTAAGGTAGAAAATGAAACTGACTTGAAAATTAAGGCAATTCGTTCGGACAATGGAACTGAATATACTAATAAGAAGTTTCAATCTTTTCTACAAGAAAATGGTATTGCTCATCAGTTGACGGTACCATATACCCCTGAACAAAACGGGGTTGCAGAACGAACAAATAGATCAATCTGCGAAATGGCAAGAAGCATGCTCATGGATTCTGGTCTAGGAAAGAAGATGTGGGCTGAAGCGTGTGAAACAGCTGTGTATCTTAAAAATAGAGCACCGCACAGAGCAGTGACTCAGATGGTACCTGAAGAAAAATGGTCCGGTAAGAAGATAAACCTTGGTCACTTAAAGGTTTTTGGCTGTCCTGCTTATATACATGTTCCCGATCAGCTACGTACGAAGTGGGATTCTAAGAGCAAAAAGGCCATATTTGTTGGATACTGCGAAGAAGGCTATAGGTTTATTGATCCGGAGAAGCCAAGAAGAATCATCAGAGCAAGAGACGTGATTTTTCTGGAAAACTACAAGAAGAATGAAAGAGATCCTAATACTAGCATCAAGGAAGAGTCTGATATGGAAGACATGAAAGAATCAGCTGTAAGAAAAGTAATCGATTCGAACTCCGTGGGAGTGGAAATGAATGATGATGAAAAGGAACATCAACAATTAATAGAACAGTTGGAAGATGTCCAGGCACCAGACAACATCCAGATAGAAACTAATAATACCAGTGAGGAAGAAACATACAGTACTGGCGAGGAAGAAATTATTCCGGAACCTGAGTCTGAAAAAAGATACCCAAAGCGAAATCGAACAGCTAAGCAGTACCCTGATTATATGATGTATGCGGCCATAAGCAACGTGGATGATCCATGCAGTGTAGAGGAAGCAATGCAGAGGACAGACAAAGAACAATGGAAAATGGCCATGAAAGAAGAACTGTCGTCGATGCAAGATAATGGGGTCTGGGAATTAGTAAAGCCACCAGTGAATGTAAAAGTAATTGGGTGCAAATGGATATTTAAAGTCAAGCGTGCATGTGACGGAAGTGTGCGTTATAAAGCTAGACTCGTAGCCAAAGGCTATAATCAGTGCTATGGTATTGACTATTTCGAAACTTTCTCACCCGTAGTCAGGCGATCTACAATAAGAATTTTATTTACATTAGCTGTACAATTTGATTTAGAAATTAATCATCTCGATGTAACTACTGCCTTTTTGCATGGTGAGCTTGAGGAAGTAGTATATATGTCACTCCCAGAAGGAATTGAAAACGCTGAGTTTTTGAACAGGGTGTATTTGCTTAAAAAATCCATCTATGGCTTAAAACAGGCATCTAGATCATGGAATAAAAAGGTAAATAAGGCGTTGATAGAACTTGATTTCAAACGTTTAGAAATAGAGCTTTGCGTTTATTTTAAGAAAATAGGTAACCTTATTCTTATCATATGCCTATATGTGGATGATTTTTATATACTCTATAATGATAAGAAAGGAATGAAAGATTTAGTTGCTCAACTTAGTACTGAATTTAAAATTAAAAACTTGGGAGAAGCACGCCAATGCCTGGGAATAAAAATCAGTAGAAATAAAATTGCCGGGACTTTGCATCTTGATCAGGAACAGTATATCGTTTTTGTACTTAAGAAATTCGGGATGTTAGAATGTAATCCTGTTCGAAGTCCGACGGAAACGATTTTTTTAGAAATTATATCTGAAGCTAAAGAGAAGACTGAAGATATACCTTATAAGAATCTAATAGGTTGTTTGATGTATCTCGCGATAAACACTAGACCGGACATATCTTATGTAGTTAGTGCATTAAGTCGTTTCAATGACTGCCCCACTGAACAGCTTTGGAACTGTGCGAAACGAGTACTGCGTTATTTAAAAGGAACTGTTCACTATAGTCTGGAGTTTAAGAAATGTAAGGATAAAGATTTTAATCTTGTAGGCTGGGTTGATGCTGATTGGGCAGGCGACAGAATCGATAGAAAATC